TACTTTTCTTCTTTTCTCTCTTTGTACTTTCCTTCCCTCCTTCTCTCCTCCTTCTTTCCTTCCTTCCTTCCTTCTTTCCTTTATTTTCGATTTTTCTTCTCTTGTGTCTTACATTTGCTTTCGATTCTCTGTTGGAGTTTATCTTGCTCTTCATTTTCTTTAGTCGCCCTTTCTGCTTTTCCTATTTTTCTTCGCTTAGTTTGCACCTTCTCTCTTCATTTTGTTATCGACTAACTATTTTCTAGACATTCAAAGCAGTTAAGTAGTACTTTAATTAGATAGAAAACAAATTGCATTCCTCTTGTCCTACCTTCATGAAATCAAATCTCTTAATCACACTTCCAGTTAAATAAATATCATTAAAAAAAACCGTCTTTCATAGGTGATGGAGCTGACGAAGAGCGAACTGGTGGTGCCGGTGCCAGCGCAGTGCGAGGGTCACCGTTGCCCCCTGGGCCAGTGCCTCGCCCCCTCCAACGTGTGCAACGGCGTGGTCGAGTGTTCGGACGGCTCGGACGAAGCCCAGTGCCACTGAGAAAATTGCGTTAAATGGTGTCGCTTGCGGTGAATTCGTTTCGATGTATCACGGTTTCGGACGAGGTGTCGAGGATGTCACGTGTGTCGAGATCAGAACTTGTTTGAGACTCGTTGAGAGCTTGTTGCACACGCATTTCGGTCAGTATGATGATGGTGTTCTAAATAATTTATGGCTGGAAAAAGGAGAGGAGAAATCATCATCATTCAGTATTAACTAACGGAAAACTGCTTCTTGGACACACGCAAGGTGCCTTTAAGTGAATAAAATGAAGTGTAAAAGAATAATCTGAGTGAAAAAATATCTGAAGAAACACAGAATGTGGAAACAAAAGAAATACAAATCTAAATGACTTGAAAGGATTTCGAAATTTATGTGAATTCTCCAAAGTTATGAACTTACTGTATCATGAGTTCGCTTATTTACGAAAAATAGTTATTGTTATAAATATTTGATTCATATGTAGTGTGACTGTGCACTGCATATTCATCAATTACAACTCCAGCGCTCTCAAAGTTTCACATTGGAACAGAGAGCATGGCGAGGAGTGTCATTTCAATGGGCATTATAAATTATATAAGGACAGCACTTGATATACACCAATTTTCAAAGTTGAACATAAAATGTTATACACAAAATATGCACAATTAGCATTAGTAGCTGTGTACAGTGTTTATCTTTGCAAAAAGATCGAATTAGGAATTTGTTATAGCTTAAAAAAAAAAAAAGTTTGAATCAGGGAAGCTGAGTCTCTTACGCACTCTTTAACGTACAATGTCACAGTGCACCCTTTGCAGCACAGGATCCACGAAACACGCGATAAACATACGCAATTCACCTACAGAACTTAGATAACAGATAAAAACTAAACAGATTAATAGAGAAATAAACAAAGATAGTAGTTAGAATTACTGTTTTAATAAAAACAGACACAGGCTCTTATGAAATGGAAAATAAATGTTCCAGATAATATCAGCAAACCTCACACATGTGACTTCATTCTTAACAAGGATACGTAAGAAAACTTCAATTAACCAGATTTTTAACTTTGAAATATGAGCAATGAATCGTGACTCGGTGTAGATTGTAGAGCTTCGTTAATCTTCCTTAAAAGAAGGTTTTAGAATGTATAACGAAGGCTGAAGGTGCAATGCGGTTGTAAGTCTAGAATAGATACGATACTTCCACCTTATTAAAAACACTTTTGGCTTTACTTTACTTTACTGTAATTATTTATATCAATGGGATCATCTTGACAGTGTGTGTCTTCGGTGCGACTAAGATCGTTGTATGATAGTGGCATTAAATTTGTAAGTGATATTAGGTTAGCGACACGGGAGTATAGGCATGTTTATAACTTGAGTGAGTAATTATCAAAACGCATAAGGGTCCATATAATCTGTCTGTCAATCTCCTTCTCTGTTATTAGTCTACCTCGTTCTGTCTTTCACTTACACACAAAGGCACAGACACAATTTCTTCGAAGGGCAGGGTATACTAATTTGTTATGCCTCATCTGATCTAATGCTTTCAAAATGCACTCAATTTTGCGTGTCCTTGATCACGGACAAGAAAGGTTCCGTCAGATTAGTCCGTCCTTTATTATTTTCTTTCATTGTATCGTGACTTTTGGAACTCAGCGTGACTGCATTTTGATTCGGCATTTCTTGGGTTTGGTATTTATTCATTCAATCGTGTGCATAGATTATTTTTAGTTTTTTTTTCACATTCCTTCATTAAAGTCATGTTATCATTCATCCATTTGTTCATTCATATTATTCATACCGGGCAATTATTTCAGTGTTTTGCACTTTGTACATATACATAAATATATATATTTACATTTTATATCTAGGTCATGCCCATGGGTAAAACTAATGCCAAAGGTTTTTATGGGCATCTTCTTTGTGATATTGTTGTTATTTATTAAAATGTACGTACGTATACCTCTAATAAAATCGTTTCGTAGAATCTGTTTTTATACCTTTTCATTTTTGTCGTTGGTTGCTTTTTAATTTTATACCACTTTGCTGTATGGAGAAGGATGATATATTCTTACTTTATTAAACTGCGAGAAGACGGCATTTTATCTCTACGAGAACCGCATAGCTTCTACTGCAAAATAAACCTGACTGCCATGTTGAAAGACGAGTGAATTATATTAGCTTCAGTTGATGCTAATGGTTCGTATCAAGCACTTGGTTCATATCAAGCACTAGGGGGGGGGTCAGGAATGAGGACATAGGGTGTGCATGCCTCAGTAAAGCCTATAAAGACTAGAATAGAAAAATCAGACCGCATGAAAAATCCTAATTATGCTAAAAGTAACAAGTGCTAGGATGAAACTTGCTTTGACTGTGCTATATATCTGATGGCGGATCTGTTGTGAATCATTCTGATGAAGGCTGCACGCTCAGTTTCCTGGAAAAAAAGTTCGTGCGGGCGTCAAACTGAAAAGCATCGTAGGTCTTATAATCACCGCCATGAGTTTCATCCTCATCCTCATGTCTGCGATGGCATTTTGTGAACTAAAGGTTATTCCAGTCATTCCAAGAGAATTTTTTTCGGTTTGTATAATATTACTCCTAACTTGTACTAGTGTAGCGGTCAATTTCTGTTGGCATCGTACCTTATCAGATGGTAGTGATCAGTGATCAGTTTCATTTTCTGTTCGATCTTAGCTCATCGATGATAATGATAAAAATAATTGGTGCTAAGACGTATCTCTTATGTAAAAGGACACTTATATATCCGATGAATTTTTATATACGTCTTTGTGTTCCACTTTTTCCATCTAGAAGTATGATTCTGATTCTGTTCTGTAACACATAGGATATTGTGCATCATGCTGCTTGTATGTATGTATAATTGCTTTGGTAATTCTCTCCTCTCACTGAGTTTTGGAAAATTGGTTGTAGAGGTATTCTGAGAACCCATTTAAAATATCATCCGGTCCTTTTGTTTTTATTTTGTCTAAACAATTTAGCAATTCCATTATTACTTTATCCTTTACTTTGTTACTTTTTCCTGGGTGTGATGTCGATATGTATATGTATATGTATATATATATACATATATATATATATATATATATATATATATATATATATATATATATATATATATATATATATATATACATATATATATATATATATATATATATATATATATATATATATATATACATATATATATATATATATATATATATATATATATATATATATATATATATATGTATATATATATATATATATATATATATATATATATATATATATATATATATATATAAATTTGTTATATATATATATATATATGCATATGTATGTACATACATATATATATATATATATATATATATATATATATATATATATATATATATATATATATATTAATTTGTTATATATATATATGCATATGTATGTACATATATATATATGTATATATATATATATATATATATATATATATATATATATATATATATATATATATACATATATATATATATATATATATATATATATATATATATATATATATATATATATATATATATATATATATATGTATGTACATACATATGCATATATATATATATAACAAATTTATATATATATACATATATATATATATATATATATATATATATATATATATATATATATATATATATATATATATATATATATATATGCGCTCTGAAAACGAGGAAAACGACATATCGGCTTGAGAAGTCAAACGCAGGTGTCGTAGGGGAAGTCACCGCCGTGGCAAAAGTGTTCACGCGCCGAACTGCGGTTGATTAGGAAGGGCATTCAATCAGGCAACGGTGACACCGCCATATAACCTCTCAACTGAATTGAGAGAGGCCTATGTCCTGCAGTGGAATGAATGGCTGTTGAAAAAAAAAAAAAAAAAAAAAAAAAAAAAAAAAAAAAAAAAAAAAATATATATATATATATATATATATATATATATATATATATATATATATATATATATATATATATATATATATTAATTTGTTATATATATATATGCATATGTATGTACATATATATATATATATATATATATATATATATATATATATATATATATATATATATATATATATATATACGCGCGCGCGCGCGCGTTTATGTGTTCATAACTATGTATGTGTGTGGGTATATATGCATAATATTAAACTGTATGGTATATGTAATCCTTATCAAATATTTACTCTTTTGGTTACCTCTACTTAACATAGGAGTCACCCCTATAAATTTTACATTTTCTATTAATAAAATGACGTTCATTTTCTTTGAATAGTTTAGTTGGTGGATAAACTGCTTTATATATTCACAATTTGATCCATCTGAACCAGGGGCATCAATTGGGGGCTGGGGGGCGCAACCAGCCTGAAGGCCTGTCTTGCCCCCACCCCCCAAGAGGTAACAACACAACAACT